CTAATAATCCATGATTTAGCTTTAGTATTTAACATCTTGAAAGTCTTTCTATACTAGAATCGCTAGTTCTATATTATTATATTATATTGCAGAGTGACTTCTCCATCCTCCTGAGCACCTACTTCCCAGCTCTGTAATTCACCTCTATTGTTGTGGGTCCCTCTTCTCCTAAGTAAACCGCCTCTAATTCTGAGTGGGATGTTGAGTTTTCTTAGGAGTATATTCAGGATGCCATTTAAGTTAAACACATTTGGAAAGATTTCCTTCATACATGTTTGCACACATCTCAGATATATTCTCAAAGCAAGATTTGATGGTGGCTGGAGGTAAAACAGGAACTCCAGAAAGCTCTGCTTCCAGTCCCTGGCACCACCTAAAACCAGGCAGACATACTTGTTCTCCTAGCGCTTGGGGATGGAGCCAGAAGGACAAAAGTTGGAATGCAGCCAGTGTTTGAGGTCATTCTGTGCTCCAGTGATGCCCTGCTTTAAAAAAAGGGGGGGGGGTATGTTTATGTGTCTATGATTATATATTAAAGTTTAAACTTCCCATTCAAATGAGAATGTGAAAAATGAAATCATATACTATTTGACTCAATATTGTCTGTATTTTTCTCTTGAAATAGAATGGGAAGACCTGGTGGTGGTGGTGCACACCTTTAATCCCAGCACTTGGGAGGCAGAGGCAGGCAGATCTCTGAGTTAGAGGCCAGCCTGATCTACTAGAGTTAGTTCCAGGACAGGCTCCAAAGCTACAGAGAAACACTGTCTCAGGAAAAAAAAAATAGAATGGGATCCTTTTAGAAATATATGTATAAAAACATAATAGTGAAACAGGACTTACTGGAAAATAAAAGGGAGAAGTGGGTCATTATAGGGCGCTTTGGTTTTTCGAGACAGGGTTTCTCTGTAGCTTTGGATCCTGTCCTGGAACTAGCTCTTGTAGACCAGGCTGGCCTCGAACTCATTATAGGGCTTTTTAAGAGTTGTTAATCACTGTCTTAGGGTGACCATTGCTATAATAAAACACCATGACCGAAAGCAAGTTGGGGAGGAAAGGGTTTATTTCCCAAATCACTGTTTGTTGTCAAAGGAAATCAGGACAGGAACTCAAACAGGTCAAGAACCTGGAGACAGGAGCTGATGCTGAAGCCATGAAGGGGAACTGCTTATTGGCTTGCTCCCCATGACTTTGTCAGCCTGCTTTCTTACAGAACCAAGCACTAAGGGCTGGAAAGTTGGCCCAGCAGCCAAGAGTACGGGCTGCTCTTCCAGAGGTCCTGAATTCAATTCCCAGTAACCACATGGTGTCTCACAACCATCTTTAGTGGGATCTGATGCCCTTTTGTGGCATAAAGGTGTACATGCAGAGAGAGAGCTCATATACATAAAATAAATAAACTTTAAAAAAAAAAATAGAACCCAGGACTACAAACCCAGGGATGATGGCCCCAACCACAATGGATTGAGCCCTACCCCATAAATCACCAATTAAGAAAATGCCCTGCAGACTTGCCTACAGCTTGATCTTGTGGGGGCATTTTGTCACTTGAGGCTCCCTCTTTTCTGATGACTTTAGCTTGTGTCAAGTTGACATAAACTGTCCAGCATTGTCACTAACTGCATTGATTGTTAGTAATAAGGTTTCCAATTTTTATGGCCCAGTAAGAATGTTTTTCCAGGGACAGCAGGGTCAGCTCAGTGGAGACAGCATATGCTGCTCCTCCAGCACCCACGTGGTGACTTCAGCTGTCCAACTCCAATTCTGGGGTCAGCCTGGGAACTGTGTTCACTGATTAAGGGCACTTGCTGTGCTTACAGTGGACTGGGGTTTCATTTCCAGCACTCACGTAGTAGACCACAACCATCTATATATAACTCCAGCTATAGGGGATCCGATGTCCTCTTCTGACCTCTGTGTGTGTGCATACATGCTGGAAACCCCATAAACATAAATTAAAAATCCTGAAAAACGATTTTTAAAGTTTGTTGTTGTTTTTGTTTTGTTTTTGTTTTTCGAGATAGGGTTTCTCTGTAGCTTTGGAGCCTTTCCTGGAACTAGCTCTTGTAGACCAGGCTGGCCTCAAAGTCACAAATATCCGCCTGCCTCCCGAGTGCTGGGATAAAAGGCGTGCGCCACCAGCGCCCAATCTAAAGTATATTTTAAAAAGAGAATGTTCATGTAAATGATTAAGAAACCATTTATCGCCGGGCGATGGTGGCGCACGCCTTTAATCCCAGCACTTGTGAGTCAGAGGCAGGCGGATCTCTGTGAGTTCGAGACCAGCCTGGTCTACAGAGCTAGTTCCAGGACAAGCTCCAAAGCCACAGAGAAATCCTGTCTCGAAAAACCAAAAAAAAAAAAAAAAAAAAAAAAAGAAACCATTTATCTGGGCATGGTGGCACACATCTCTCCTCTTACAGCAAGCACTTCACTAACAGCTATCTCCCCGGCCTTCCTTTCCTGTAAATGGCTTTTAATTAATTATTAGTTAATTTAGGTAGGCTTCTACTATATAGTTGTGGCTGACTTGGAACTCATTATGTAGACCAGGCTGACCTCAAACTCTGCCACCCAAGTGCAAGGATTAAAGGTATGAGCTACCATTATCCAGCTGAGATTTTTTTTTAAAGATTCATTTTTATTGTTTTTAATTACATATAGGTGTGTGTGTGAGTGTGTGTGTGTGTGAACACACAGGCACACAGTCTCGTGCATGTGGGTATGTGCACAAGAGTGCAGGTGCCTGCAAAGGCCAGGGCATTCAATCCCCTGGAACTGGATGGAGTTTCAGGTGTAAGCCACCATGTGAGTGTTAAGGTAGAGAGGTTTTCATCATGTGTCCTCTGAGTTTCAAGCAGGTAGGTGGATGATCGGTGCTTGCTGTCCTAAAGACACTTTTATGATCTGCTCTTTTCCCTCCTGGGCTGTTGTCCCCTTCCTAGACAACTTTAAAGTCTCTAGGGAAGAAAATCAGAATTCACGGCACTTTTTTAAATAGCTTGGTAGCCATTAGAGCTGGCTTCATGGTTTCTTGGCTACATGGAGACTGTACTAGGATTTAGAACCACCATACACACCTACAGACAATTTAATCCAGTCATCCGTCTGTGCTCCTCAACATCAAGGAAACAGATTGTTTTAAAACCCGGTATTGAGAATAAAGTACACTAACAACTCCTTAGTCTCATGAAGTCTAGTCAAGTGATGAAAGACTTAAAAAAAAATCAGTAGTGATGCCAGAGAAATAAGAGAAAGAGATCAGGAGAAGCTGTTGTTTCTAATTATGGCTATGATTCCAGCACTCAAGAAGATGAAGCAGGGCCGGGCGGTGGTGGCGCACACCTTTAATCTCAGCACTTGGGAGGCAGAGGCAGGCGGATCTCTGTGAGTTCAAGACCAGCCTGGTCTACAAGAGCTAGTTCCAGGACAGGCTCCAAAACCACAGAGAAATCCTGTCTCGAAAAAGCAAAAAAAAAAAAAAAGATGAAGCAGGATCATTAAGAATTCAAAGCTAGGGGCTGGAGAGTGGTTGGAAGTGCTGGCTGCTCTTCCAGAGGACCCGGGTCCAAGTTCCAGCACCCACATGGGAGCTCACAACTGCCTGTAACTCCTGTTGCAGGGATTCTGACAACTCTCACAGGCATACTGCTTGTATGGCAGAACACTAGTGTACATAAAATACAAATAAAAACTATTTTTTTTAAAAAAATTCAAAGCTGAGTTGGGCAGTGATGGCGGAGGCAGGTGGATCTCTGCGAGTTCAAGGCCAGCCTGATCTACAGAGCTAGTTCCAGGACAGCCGGGACTGTTAACCCTATCTTAGAGGTAGGGGAGAGAATTCAAAGTCATCTTGAGCTATATAGACCTTATTCGAAACAAAAACGGTGTGTATATGAGAGAGACCTAATAGGGAGACATTTGAATAGTTACTAAATGAACCTGCATATGATTGGTTGACATTAAGGCAAAAAGCTCAAGGTAGAAGCATGGTTGGTGAATGAGCTACAGGAAAAGCTAATTTGTCGAGGCAAAGAATATAAATGAGTAGAGTAGCAGGAAATAGGATGAGAGATTATCAGACGGGAAACCACAGGATGGCCCTAGATCTTGACTTTATAGGTCAACGGAGAAACAGGAGAAGAAAGAAAGGCTATAGGTCATTGACAAGTCCCCCAATTAATTTCTTGATCCTTCCTTATCTTACCCATTTTAAAGATGAGCTACAAAGCTAAGATTATCAGAGATGATAGTAAAAAGGTTTGTTTTGTTTTTTAAAGAACATGGAGAAATCGGCAGAGGGGTGGCGCAAACCTTTAATCCGAGCGCTCAGGAGGGTGGCAGGCAGGAAGATCCTTCCTTATCTTACCCATTTTAAAGATGAGCTACAAAGCTAAGATTATCAGAGATGATAGTAAAAAGGTTTGTTTTGTTTTTTAAAGAACATGGAGAAATCGGCAGAGGGGTGGCGCAAACCTTTAATCCGAGCGCTCAGGAGGGTGGCAGGCGGGTCTCTCTGAGTTTGAGGCCAGCCTGATCTACATAGTGAGTTCCAGGATAGCCAAGGCTACACAGTAAGACCCTCTCTGAAAACAAAAACAAAAAAAAGGTGGGGGTGGGGTATATCAATCCATCATATATATAGGTCATTTTGTAATTCCTTTGATTAATTTAGACCCGCTGCAGCAAGTCATATGGGGACAGTCCCATGGACAAGGATTACATTCTTCAGGCATGGGCATGAGGTCATGGCGCGAGGAGAAGGAGGGCTTTATAGGAGAATTTGTTTAGTTAGTGCCGGTGTGTAGCCGAAGGTCGGCAGCCTTCCTTTTCAAAAGGCTGCAGCTACCTTGATGCCTTTCTCCAGGGGTCCGATGTGGATGCTCCCTTTGCAGCTGGTTCTAGGGCGGGCTAGGGCTTTGCGGCACTCGCCGCCTCCAACTCCCGGCATGCCATTGGGCGTGGGCCGGGTGTAGACTCCATTTCCCAGGCTGCCCCAGGTCCTGGCCACGACGCGCCGGCGCCTATAAGAGGCAGAGCTCCGCAGCCAGAGCCTATTGTTAGCCGGAGCCGGGGCGGTTCTGGGCTGTGCTGCCCGGGGTGCCCGAGTGCAGAGCCGCCCGCCCCCCGCCGCCTGCCGGCCGGCCCACACACCCTACAGCCCGGGGAGCTACGCGACGGGCCCGGGGACCGGCGCGCCTCGGTCTTCTCTCAGTGCACACGGGCTGACGCGGCAGCGGGGGTGGCGGAGACCCTGACGGGAGAGGCGTCCGCGGCGGGGCCGGTAATGGGCCTGGGGTGCTGGGCGAGGGGTCAGCCTCGTCCTCTCTGGGCAGCGGCTCCCGGGCTGTCGTGGAGCAGCGCTCGGGCGCAGAGCCGTGCGGAGCGAGGAGCGAGGGGGCGGGGGGCGGGGAGCCAGGGCGCCTCTGGGAAGAGGCGTGGGAGCGAGGGGCGCCGGGGACGCCGGCCGGTCTGCAGGCTAGCTCAAGGGACGGCTGGGCGTCTTGGAAGCCGGCAGGATTGCGGCTGACGGCTGAGATCGGGATGGAGTGGGCAGTGATGTAGGATGGAGAAAAGTGAAGGAAGGGGAGGGGGACCGGAGGAAAATGTGGGAGGAGTGGTTGGGAATTTGTGAGTAGCGGGCAGGAGGATGTGGAAGGCTGTGTGGGGACTGCAGATGATCGGAATGAGCGGGAAGGCTAGCGAAAATCAATGGGTTGAGAGCTGAAGGGTTCCTCAGCTGTGTTAAGGTGAGCTGGTGACTTGACATGTCCTTCTGCTCTGGTCTTGATGGCTCCCATTTTTCTGGCGTTGTGTGCAAAAATGAGAGCATCACTTGTCCTGGTTGCTAGCTTGATGTTTTTTTTCAGGCCCAAACACGCACCCGCCTGCCTTCCAACCCCATTTGAGTGCTATGGTCTTGATTCATCCTTTTGGAAGGGTTTGGGGTGGCAATGTGACATACAAACTGTTCTTCAGTATGAAAGGTTAGAAGTCCTCCCCAGGAGACAACACTGTTCCTCTTGTCCCCCAGTTTTCAGGTCATGGTAAAAACCGCGGCCGATTCACATTCTCCTTTTCTTTGGTGGCTTTAAATCTTAGGCATCTCTAAAACCAGGGTGTTGGTATGTGGCAGTTACGTGACGCTGTCCTTTAGAGGAGAGCTAATGCAGCATCATGTTCCAGGTCTCCCACAAATATCTTGTGTCTTCCCTAGGATGTGGCTTACACGTGGAAAGCCGGCTTCTAACCTAGTGTTAGTAAACCGGTAGAACCCCAGGGCGTGGGGGGCGGGAAAGGGCCCTCTTTAAACCTAGCGGGAGGTTTTCAGTGAGCACCTGAAGTGCTTTTCCGATTTCATGATCTTGGTGAACACAAGGACACAGGGGTCCATAAAATCGTAGTATTTGAGAATCACCACTGCATCTTGTAAAAGGGCAGCAGGGTAAGGCATCTTACTGGATCACTGTGTGGAGTGACAGCAGGCTTTCTACCCGAGTCCTGGCTGGTAGTCCAAGAGATTCCTTACCTTTAGCAGAACACTGGGTTCTAGTTGAGTGGAAAGGCCTTTCCAGTGAGGTGAGCCTTGTCTTAGGATTTTGGACTAATTTAAGAAAAGGCTCACACACCCAAACTGTACAAATAACTCTTGGGCCACAGCTCCACAGTTGCTCTGAAATGCGCCCCACATGTTTTGTTTTTGTTTTTTGTTTGTTTGTTTGTTTGTTTTTTGATTTTCGAGACAGGGTTTCTCCATAGCTTTTGGTTCCTGTCCTGGAACTCACTCTGCAGACCAGACTGGCCTTGAACTCACAGAGATCCACCTGCCTCTGCCTCCCGAGTGCTGGGATTAAAGCCACTTTATTGCATTGCCACACCCAGTTTTTGCTATTCTTATGGAAGTTAGGATTTGGGGTTTGCAGTCCTTACCTGAAGAAAGCATAGCCCTAATACTGAAGTACACACGCTGGTTTGACGTCCTCTATGTACTGCAGCTGTGAACTGTATTGTGTACCTTTGGGAAGTGTTCAGCTAGAAACACAACGCCATGCGGCATGTAGTCAGAATGTGTCAGCTGACTTCATCTCACCAGCATGTGAAAGCTTTGAGGGAGACACCATTATTTGTTGTGTGAGATGTTTATTTAGACATTAAGTATTCTGACCGGCATTTCTAGTCTCACCTTGGTTATTTCTGTATAGGTTTGAGTGTTTGGATATAACTCATAAAAGTGGAGAGGGAGGGGTTGAGACAGGTTTCATGTAGCCTTGGGTAGCTACAAATTTGCTTTGTAGCCAAGGGTGACCTTGAACTTTTGCTCCTTCTGCACTTAAGTGCTGGGATTACATGCATGTGCCATCAGGTGAGGGCTAAAGAGTATCCTCTGGACTCATGCGTGATCTTTTACCATTAAGGGAATAGCTGAGCCAGTGGGAGTGACTGATTCTTAATAGAACCTGTTCTAGTGGTTACTGTAGTATGTGTGAGTTCTTCAAGGCACTTTGGGACTAACTAGGTGGGAAGATCATGGTCAAGTTCACACCAAAGAGCTGGATAAGGAGAGCTTCCATTGTTTGCAGGAAATAATAGGAATTTAAGTTCTCAGTGCTGGAGGGCGGCACTTGGTGCACACACCTTGATCCTAACACTTGGGAAGCTGAAGCAAGAGGGCTGCTGTGAGTTCCATACCTTTCTCCAAAACAAGCTGGGGCCTTGTAGGGCCAATCTGGGCTATATAACTAAACGTAAACAATTTTCAGTAACAGGTAACTTTACAGGAGTGTCGTCACATCCTGAGTAAGGGGATGGGACCTAGAACAGTGGAGTTTCAAGGCTGTTGCAGAGTAGCACCCATGAACTGGTTTTTATTTTATGGTGCTGGGAATTGAAGCCAGGGAAGGCTTCAAGCATGGTAGGTAGGCAACCGCTGTCCTACCCAGGTCCCTCCCCAGCCCTTTCATGGAATAGGCCACATAGGTCAGTATACACAGTATTTACTCATGTAGCCCTGGTTATTGGCAACTTAAGGAAATTACTTTTCCTTACGTTTTACAGCTTTCTCCTCCCCCTTTCTTTCCTACCTTTCTCTGTCATTGCCCAAACCACAACCCCAGAATTGAGAAGACATGAACAAAGAGGCTTAGAGCAAGGAGCCAGTGTTGCCACACTCAAGGGCACAAAGTAACCCTGATGAAAGGGTGCTCTTAAGGGCAGCTGGGTTAAGATAAGGGAGAATTTTACTAATAAAGATGGTTTGGGCCCAGATCCAAGTTCACGTGAGACTTAGAGTAACAGTCAAAGGAAATCCACATTACTGGAAGCAGAGGATCCCAAGGAAAGAGCAGAGTGAACCTTTGCTTCCGGTCATAAATCCCTGAGTGCTTCCAGGCTGAGGAACAGCAATTTTCTACAAGTATTAGCCGGAGCCAGTTAAACAGAAGGAGCGCTAACGCCATTTCCAAGAGGCAGGTTTTGTGCTCAGTGTTGGCTTCTGTGTGGTTGAGAAGGCACTGTGGTGTGTGTGGTGTGTGTGGTTGTTGGACTCCGCACACAGCCCTCTCCTTTTCCTCTATAGTATCCACATGAATATTTAATGACAAACATGCCCCCTCCCGGCGCGCACGCCATGCTCCTTCACCCAGAATAGAACGGAATGAGACATTTGTTAGCTGAAAGGTATCATCTTTAAGCCCAGCTAAAATCTTACCCATAGAAAGTCCCTTCACCCTCACTCTCGTCATTTCTAAGAAGGTGTGGTCAGACCCAAGGGTCACAGCTGACATGCTGGACTCATTCGATTATTTTAAAAAATGTTTTGGTTGTATTTTATGTGAATAGACTTTTTTTGTCGGCATACCACTGTGTGCCTGGTACCTGAAGAGGCCAGAAGAGGGTTTCAGACTCCCTGAAACTGGAGTTAAAGGTTTGGATGCTGGAACTGAACCTGGGTCCTTTGGAACTGGGTCCTTTGGAAGAGCAGCCCGCACTCTTAGCTGCTGCCTACCAGCCCTTTGTTATCTTTTACATACTTTTTTTTTTTTTAAAGACAGTTTCTGTGTAGTCCTGACTGTCCTGGAACTCACTCTGTAGACCAGGTTATGCTCAAACTCACAGAGATCCTCCTGCCTCTGCCTCCTGAGTGCTGGGATTAAAGCTGTGCACCACCACACCAGGCTCCTTGATTTAAGTTTTCTTCTTAGCCGTACTGACTTGAGGGATTATGTGCCTGAAACCGAAAGCTAAGACTCTTCAGCTCGTCTTGTGACTCGAACGCAGGATTTTTATGTGACCTGAGTATGTATTTTAGGAAATCCCTGAAGCACGCACCAGGTCTGGCTCACTTTGTAGAGCTGATCTAAATTGCTACTAAAGTAGTCCAGAAAACCAGCCTTCTCTGTCTCTGCAGTAAGGCAGTGCTGGTAATCCCACTGCAGTTAACCGCCTGTCTTACCTCGCCACATGGGGGTTTGGCTGGCAGCATTTCTCCTGTACAGATTCTTGTCCTTTCGGAACTCAAGTCCAAAGACAGAGACAGAGAAAAACCTGTGCTTGCTGTGTTGATGTAACCAGTTTTAACTGTCACCTCTTTTTCTGTATTCCCTTGATGGTTTCTTTTTAGAGACCAGAGATTGTAAAGTTTTATTTTCTTTTTGCACAGGGAGGATGAGAGACCAGATTGAAAATGAGCCTGGTTTTTGTGTTGTTTGTGGAGCTAGGATCAAACCCAGGGCCTTGTGTACACTAGGCAAGCGCTCTGCGCAGAGCTGCACCCATAGCCCCAGTTTCTGGGTTTGGAACCAGTACAGATTCTAATCTTGGCTCCTTTCTTTAGTACTAAATTTGCCCTTTCTAGGAGCCTGGTGAGACACTTCACACTTGCGAAGATCTGGGTCAAGGGTTTTCCTGACTGCCAATGTCCTTCAAAATTGAGAGCCTGAAGCAGAATTTCCCAAAGTGTGTTCCAGGGACTATCTGCCCCATAACATACTTTGGCAACAGTGGGTTCCACAATCAGGTTTTGAAACACTGCACTGTTTTCTTCCAGCCTTACCATGCAAGCTCATAAGTATATTTAAAAAAACCCCTAGGCAATTCTGCCATAGCTGGTTTCAGCTATTTTAACAGCAGTCCTATTTTCATTCAAGAAACTATTAATACCATGGAACTAGTGTATTTAAGATACACACTTGGGGACATGCCAGGCTGTGTTATCACTGGGATAAATATTTGGGCCTGGCTTTGGTTTAAGCAGAGTGTTTGCTGTCTTTGAACAGTGAATGCTAGCCCAGTGACTGCTGTGGCCAGCAGGGTTGGAAGTGAAGCCACTCCTCCATTGGGAAGGGCTATGCAGACTCACTCAGAGTAACTGAGGCTGGAGGAGCCAAAGGAAGCAAGTAAGAATGCTGGCCAGAGTCAACAAAGAAATGGCCTGGTCCTGAGAAGCCAGACTGTGCTAGGCCAGGTGCTTAGCTTTTCTTCAGTTAGAGCGATGCGTTTACAGACTTGGCGGGTGTGTCTCTGGACAGTAGTGCTGACTCCTCTTCTCTCTTGGGCAGAATCTTAATGCTCCTGGCTAACTGGTGGTGAGCAGCTTTGGGGCCATCGTGGTTGACTCCCCAAGCAAACCATTTGAATCCAATGGATGCATTCTCAGGCTCAGGGCTCAAGAGGAAATTTGATGATGTGGATGTGGGCTCATCAGTCTCCAACTCGGATGATGAGGTCTCCAGCAGTGACAGCGCTGACAGCTGTGACAGCCTCAACCCTCCTACAACCGCCAGCTTCACACGTGAGTGAGCTGCTCCCTTCCTGCCTGCACTCTGTCCCGTGAGCCCCTGCAGCCTGAGACCGCTTCTGTCCATCCTGGGCATGTGCCCTTTCCATAGCATGTCTTGATTTTTGGCAAACCTCACTGCTCCAATAGCATACACTAGTCTGATTTATTCTACTTGTGCTGTGGTTTGGGGTGCCTAGAATGGGTGGGATGTGATGGAGGAACAGGAGCTTGGTATTCTACTTTGACCTCAGAGGACTTGCCTAGAGGTTCAAGAAATTGTAACTGGAGCAGGAGTGGGTATTTGGTTTGGCCACTGTGGCATCTCCAGATCTCTTCCTTCCTATTATCTTGATCCCATAGCTCTCCAAGGGTCTGAACTCTGGAACGAAAGCTGTGAGGGTACCATTCAGAGCCGCCTGCAGCTTTTCCAATGGCACCTAGCCTGGGCACAGTGGCATCTCCCTGTTCTCAGGTTGTCCCTCTAGAGAACCCCTGGTAGTGAGGCCGTGGCTGTGGACTAAGTCTGGTCTGCTTCTCGTTTCCGTGGTTTCATTGGGACGCTCACACCCATTGTTTGTGGTTGTCTTTATGCACTAGCAGCATGCTTGAGGAGTTGCATCAGAGACCTCATGCCCTGAAGAGCCTAAAATATTTCTCAGCAGGCATGTTGGAGAAACGCTCCGCTGTAGAGCGCTGTCCGGTTGAACTTCCTGGGTAGATGGTCCTCGTCAGCGTGGTCCACTGCTAGTTCTTAGTCAAACGAGCCGACTGAAGTGCAGACTGAAGAGCTGGGGTTTCTAAAATAAGTTTTAATTAGTTTCAACTATCACATGGCAATTTTCTTTTCTCCTGAAAAGGACACCTAGTATTCCCAGTTACTGTCTAAAAATAGATTTTGTGGCCATCTATTCAGATGAAGTCAGTCTGGAGGCAGTAGTATGAACCAGCTGAGGTCCCAGGCTCTTTCCAGTTTTGCATACTTGGAAATAGTCTACTATTTGGGGACAGGTTAAGAGCCTGGGAGGATAGCAGCAGGTGAGAGCCCTGTGTTCCATTCACAGCCACATCCATCCTGAAGCGGCAGAAGCAGCTGCGGAGGAAGAATGTCCGCTTTGACCAGGTGACTGTATACTACTTTGCCCGGCGCCAGGGCTTCACAAGTGTGCCCAGCCAGGGTGGAAGTTCCTTGGGAATGGCCCAGCGCCATAATTCTGTTCGCAGCTACACCCTTTGTGAATTCGCACAAGAACAAGAAGTGAACCATAGAGAGATTCTTCGTGAGCACCTGAAGGAGGAGAAACTTCATGCCAAGAAAATGAAGGTGCCTGTGGGACGTGGGGTCTGGTGCTTCCTGCATGCTGAGGCCAAGGTCTTCAATTAGATCTTAGTTTGGGTCTCCTTGCCATCTCTGGTGGCACTGGCAGCTAAGACAAAAACGACTCTCCCTGCGCTATCCCCGTCTCCCTAGCACAGGGATGCTTTGGGGAATGTGAACACATTGTCAGCAACTGTCCTTGCCCACAGGAGTAGAACAGAGCAGGCTTTGACCCTTCACTCCACACCATCAGTCCTGAAGACTGACACAGCCCTCTTGGTCTAGAGAGTAGCATTATTTCATGGTTAGTTTCACAGACCAGTACACCACGGTACTGGAGAGATGGCTCGGCACTTACAGCATGTGCTATTCTTTTGAAGGATCTGGGTTTGGTCACCAGCACCTACATGGTGATCATATGGCTGGACTGGAACTTGCTATGTAGACCAGCTAGCTTCAAGTCACTAGATATGTGCCCACCTCTGTCTCTCAAGTGCTGGTGTTAAAGGCATACACTACCAGACCTGGCCAAGTAAATCAGTCTTTAAAAAGCACTTACCTACTCTACTGTGCTGACACCACCAGAAGACCCTCCGCAGACACCCATACCTTAGAGTGCTGACACTCCATTGTCAGAGTTTCTATAAGCCCTCCAATTTTCCCCAGAAATGGGGCATAGCTTAGTGGTTGAGCAGTCAAAGTCCCCAGTTCAGGAGACAGAGAATATGAATGATAATGGATTTCTGAGCCCAGAGCATGAGGTGGCTGCCTTATTTTCAGGGAGTAGGTGGAACTGAACAGGCTATGGCTGGAGACCTGGCAGCAGAGGGCAGAGACTGCCTGGGTCTCACCAGTTTCATTCTTTGTAGGCTCTCAGTCTGCTCCTAGGGTCTTACACCTGTTACTGTAATGACAATGACATTCGGCCTGCCCTTCTTCTGAGGAATTCTGTCACTGACCCTGTCGCCTTTATGTTGCTATAGCAACAGCTAGACAAACATTCTTCTCAGTTACAGTGAAGGTTCTCTGCCCCTTTCCTATAAGACAACTCTTCCAAATGAGGTAGAGGAATGATCTAAGTAGCATCTATCTGTCCCTAGCAGGACATACTGAGTGCTAGCAGTGCTGACAGGGATGTCAGGAAAATGCTTGCCTTCCTCCCCAGGAAGGTTTCCTGCCTTTAGCACCTCTAAGGGCACAGTCTTTTCGTGTGCCACTTGATGTCTCTTTTCCTTTGGAGCTGCTCCAGTCAACTGTTAGAACTCCTTAACCTTCATTACATATAATTTTCTAATAGTTTGGTTTTGTTTTATCCATATGGGATTCATTATTGTAAGTAGTGTGAATTAGGTGGTAGTTGTTTTTGTTTTGGGAAAATCTCGTGGAGTCCAAGCTAGCCTTGAACTTGCTGTGGGGCAGGGCATAGCTTTGTGCTTTTGTTCCTCGTGCCTCTACTTCCTAAGTGCCAGGATTATTAAGTGGGGACTCCTGGCCTTGGCTTTTCTTTCCCCAAGAATATCTCATCCCAGCACTGTAATGGCTAGAAGCCTGCACTGCTCCGAAATACCCCTACCGTGGAGATCTGGAGTCGGCTTGCTTCCCTGATCACTTTCCCTTGAGAGCAGCAGGAATGCTGGGGATGAGCCACGATCAGGAACGGTCCTAAGGTCTACAGATAGGAACCTGGCAGCTGCTTGCCTGGTACAGAGGTAACAGACTGGAGAAGTCCGAGTGGGGTTCCCAGTCCCCCAGTTCCCCCGCAAGCCTTCCTCCTTGGGCTGTTGCATCACATCTCCCGTGGGAGTTGTTCCTCTCCCAGCACTCCTGCTGTCTGATGAAACAAAGCAAAGACTCCAGTCACTGAGCTTCCAGCCTGCTAGCAGCTCCCGGGGCCCCAGGGGCTGGGGCCTCTTTTCTTTACTTAGATCCTCTAGTGAGTTTGTAGAGCTCATTCAGCCAGAAATTGTCTCCAGCCTGTCCTTCCAGAGTCCTGCCCTGACTCTTTATCCAGATCAGTGCAGAAAACCCAGATCTCTGCCCATAGATAACACACCATGTTATTTACACTGCCCACCTCACACAGGTTTTTCTCTGGTGTGAAATAAGCCAGGATCAGAAGGAAGAAAAGAGTTTCTTCTAGACTCTGTTGGAAGTCAGGGCTTTGATAGTGGTCAGTAACTGGCTGCCCACTCCCTTAGCAGTAAAATGCAGTTGTTCTGAGTGCACAGGTAATTATTTACAGTGTGGGGGATCAGTGTGTTGACTAACACCCTGGGAGCTGGTGTTATGTAAAGTACCCTTTTTCTCTGAAGATAGTTTCGGGTTCTCCAGGGTTTAAGTTGAGGGTGTTTTACAAGGTTACCGTTATCACTGAGGAACACGCAGCCACTGATACACATCCACTGCAGTGCAGGTAGCAATCTAGAGATGGAGGAATGTTTGTGCTGTATTCTAAACATTTCTCTAGACAGGACCATGACCATGATGTTGCCCGTGCCCCTAGCCTCAGCTTCCTGAGTAGGTGGGGTGGTGGCTGTGCTGCCAGACTGGGCAGAGAGCCGTCTTTTTTTTTTTTTTTAAGATTTATTTATTTATTAAGCATACAATGTACTGCTGGCAAGGAAGGTACCAGGTCTCATTACAGATGGTTGTGAGCCACCATGTGGTTGCTGGGAATTGAACTCGGGACCTCTGGAAGAGCAGCCAGTGCTCTTACCCTCTGAGCCATCTCTCCAGCCCCCAGAGAGCCATCTTTGAGGACCCAGAACTCAGGTGATGTCTCTGCTGTTGACAGTGTAGTGTTAGAGCCAGATAAAGTTTCTGTCTTTCTGCTCTAGTGTTAATCATACCCTGTGTGGTCTAGTATGGCAACTATCACTTATTTTGGCTGTTTAAGTGTAAAATTAAATAAAATTCAATTTCACAGTGTTTACTTTCTGCTGCTCTGCTGTGGTGTAGGACATAGCTCCTCCTGGCTGCAGACCCGGGGTCTGTTGTGGTCACTGTATTGCTGATGCTCCAGCGCTGACCTTTCCTGTCTCCTGGCAGCTGACCAAGAATGGGACAGTGGAGTCAGTGGAGGCGGATGGCTTGACTCTGGATGACGTCTCAGACGAAGACATCGATGTGGAAAACGTGGAGGTGGATGACTACTTCTTCCTCCAGCCCCTGCCCACCAAGAGGCGGCGGGCCCTGCTGAGAGCATCCGGGGTCCACCGGATTGATGCCGAAGAGAAGCAAGAACTTAGAGCCATCCGCCTATCTCGGGAAGAATGTGGTTGTGACTGTCGGCTCTACTGTGACCCAGAAGCATGTGCCTGTAGCCAGGCTGGAATTAAGTGCCAGGTCAGTCATATTTGGCCTGAGATGGTATATCTATCCCAACATTGGGGGTGGGTTGGGTGCCAGTGAGGACAGGAAGCTTCCAGTCCAGAGATAGTCCATGGCTGAGAACTGTGCTCCAGTTCCACAGCCCTCCCAAAGAAAGCAAGCAGAGGAAGACTCTTAGGCACCATGGAGGTGCCCATTATCTTTTCTGACTATACCGCAGAGGTGCTAAGCAGCTGGCAGCAAAGGAAAGAACAGGGTAACTCCCTTTCCCACCCGGTAAGTGTGAACAGGGTAACTCCCTTTCCCACCCGGCAAGTGTGAACAGGGTAACTCCCTTTCCCACCCGGCAAGTGTGAACAGGGTAACTCCCTTTCCCACCCGGCAAGTGCTCCTCAGATAGGGATTCTGAGATGGAAGGAAACAAGTGGGGCAGCCTTCGACTTCTCATCTGCACACTGAATCTCCTTCCAGTTTTGTGAAAGGCAAAGTAGTTTTGAGTCTCTGATTCAGGACCAGACCTTAGCTGACAGAACTTAAGTCCTCAGCTTCCTCAAATAAAGTATCTTCTTGTTGGCATTCAAAGAGATTGTTTGAAATTCCCACTTTCCTGGAAACCATCAGTGCTACCCAAAACAGTGAAACCTATGGAACTTCGTGCTGGGGCATGGTGTTGAGTCCTGTGGTTGAACCCTAGAACTTATTTTCCTTGGCTTTATTTAGTAACAAAGAACTATAGTAAGTCTGGCCAAATCCTCCTTTCCAGATTGCAGTCCCATGGTGAGTCAGTCATTCACAAACCTGAGGAGAGTCTTATCAACTGCTGGGTCTAGATATGGATTCCTTTTGAGGAGAGGGACAGGTCTCATTCCAGGCTGGCCTAGACCTGAAGTTGTTTGGCTTAACAAGGATAACCTTGGACTCTTGGCACTGCTTCCACCTCCCAAGTTCTGGAATCATTGGTGTGCATCGCCACACCGTGGGTCTGGAGATTTCAATAAGCTGATACCATAAGACGCGTTTGTATTGTTTGCTCCATGATTCTTAGGAGTTTTGATTTTGGGCAGATAAAGAGGCAGAAAGCATCTCCTTGCTATTTTTTTCTTTAAAACTGTGTAGCCCAGGCTGGCCTGGAACTCACCATGTAGACCAGGTTGGCCTCAAATTCACAGCAATCCTCCTGCCTCTGCCTTCCCAGTGCTACCACCACCAGCACATCTCCTTTCTAGATAGCCCTGGCTGTAAGTCAGTTATCTTGGTCACCGCCAGAACTACACTGGTAACCCTGAGCACAAACTCTCTTCGCCTCTGAGGCAGCAGCGTTCAGAGAGGTAGCACTGGGCTCGCTAACTGGAAGGAGCCTTTGATGGGATTTTTGTCTTTTGATTTAGAAGAGGAAACAGAGCCCAGGGGAGAAAATAGATGACCCCTAAGCTGCTGGAGCTGATGTGCAGGCCTTCTGCTCACCACTGCCCAGTGCTGTTGGCTTAGACCTGGTCACTGCTCAGATCCCAGCTGCCTGTGTTTGCCAGCTGATGTCACCTACTGCTACAACTATTGGTCTAATCTCACCACAACCTCATATGTCCCTCAGGTGGATCGGATGTCCTTTCCTTGTGGCTGCTCCAGGGATGGCTGCGGAAACATGGCGGGGCGAATTGAGTTTAATCCGATCCGAGTGCGGACTCACTACCTCCACACCATCATGAAGCTGGAGCTCGAGAGCAAGCGACAGGGGAGTCGCCCAGCAGCCCCTGAGGATGAGCTCCTGCCCACTACTGGCTGCAGCCTGCCAGGAGCCCAGAGTTCTGAGACACAGGACTTCCAGGAGTTCATCGCCGAGAACGAGACTGCAGTGATGCACCTGCAGAGCGCGGAGGAGCTGGAGCGGCTCAAGGCAGAGGAGGACTCGAGCGGCTCCAATGCTAGCCTGGACTCCAGCATGGAGAGCCTGGGGGTGTGCATCCTGGAAGAGCCCCTGGCTGTTCCCCAAGAGCTGTGTCCAGGCCTGGCCACCCCCATTCTCATCCAGGCTCAGCTGCCCCCAGGTTCCTCCGTCCTGTGTTTTACCGAGAACTCAGAGCACCCCGCTGCCCCCCCGGTGAGCAACCCATCCTACTTGAACAGTGGGCCTCTGGTCTACTACCAGGTGGAGCAGAGGCCAGTCTTGGGAGTGAAGGGAGAGTCTGGGTCAGAAGATGACACAGCCTCCTTCCCTAAGGAGAAAGATCTGAGCGTGTTCTCCCTCCCCGTTACCTCGCTGGTGGCTCGCAACTCCTCAGACTCAGCTGCCCCCTGTAAACCAGAGGTGGGGAAAACACCCGCTCTCGACCAACAGCTGCCCTATGACTGTAACCCTAAGCAGCCTGAGAATGAAGGCTTCCACCCGCCTTGGTCTCCCTCAAGCCTACCCTTCCGAACGGACAATGGAGAAGGCTGTGGAGTGCAGAACTCCCAGCAGAGCGAGGATCGGACCCCTGAAGACTCTGCCCTAGAGCTCCCTCTGGCAGTGTGACCTGAGGTAGACACTGCCCGTTCTCTATTTATTATCTAACACCATTTCAAAACAGGACTGCTGCTCCAAGGTTATTTTATTGAAACTCTTAGGAAAATGGGTAGGAAAGGGTAATTGTTAGTACATGTGTTTTTAAGAAGGGAAAGAGACCAGCCCCAGCTCAGTTTCCAGTACTGAGCTCACTGGGCCACCAGAACAAAGATGTTGCTCACACAGTGAGCTGGGTAGCTCAAGTAGCTCTTTATGCACAGAGCCAGAACTAAGGATGTGAGCAGCTCCCTGCAGGGCACGTGCTCGCTCCTCAGACAGCCATCTCGGTGTATCAGTCACACTGCTGGAAAGGCCACTCAGCTGAGTCTAGAACAGAGGCTGCAGAAGTCTCCACTTCTCTACAAAGCCTCCAGTTCTAAACATTGATTCTGCCTTTCTCCCACCTCCTATCTGGGAAATAAGTTCATTTTCAGCGTGTTTAGTATTCCCTGACCTGCTCTGCGGACAGGATTCTTGGTCTGTAACTTGAATTATTTCTTTCTATGTTCTTAGACACTAGAGTTAAACTTTTCTGCCTTTTCCTCTATCCTTTTTCCTTAAAAGAAAAAATGCAGGTTGGATGTGGTACAGAGCACAAGGCTTGCACACCATTAGGCGGGGTCCAGTGTGGAACAGTCTGGACGATGACTGCTGTCTTCTCACACTCCTTCTGGGAGAGCTTGGCTCTACATGGAATATAAAGTATGTACAGTCATCAGCTAGTGAGGATCCTCTCTCTGTACCGACCCTCATGGTCCTGGTTACCTAGGGTTAGAAAGCCCTTTGGATGTCACAGTTCAAACCTGAGAATTGTGAGTGTTTATTGGACCCTCTGTCTTGGAGATTTATGAAAACAAACTGATTTTTAGTAATATGACATAGGACTCCCAGACCCCAAAGGATTCAAGGTCTGATTATAATCTTTGAGATGTACAGACTGGGACTCAGATTCAACACTTACCTCAGTCAGCAGGCCTTGCTCCTCTCGCCCTAATTAAAGTTCCCAGATCCCCATTCAGCTCTGACTTTTGCTGGCAATGTTACCTCTGCCCCCTGGTTCAGTGGAAGTGGAGTGAGACAGTTTCCTCTCATTCTCCACCAACCAGGAAGGAAAAATGAAACTTGCTTTGATTTTCTGAGACAGGTTCTTGCTAAATAGCCCTGGCTGGCCTGGAACTTACTGTGTGGGCCAGGCTGGCCTCCAGCCTGTGGCTGTCCTCCTGACACGCATCCTGAGCGCTGGGATTGCCGGTGTGCACCGCTTTGCTCGACTCTATTTATTTTTGGTGGGATACTAAGGCCCTGGGGTTGCAGAGCAAGCTTGACTGTGTGTGGCAGCAGAAGCACCTAGTTCTCTCTACAGCCTCACAGGAGTTACCTGAGTCCCAGAGGCCAAGATGCTCTCACCCTCAGCTAGAATTCTTAAACCCAAGACCGAAGCTAAACTGAGACTGGCTGGTGGAGAGAAGAATCTTTTTGAAGGTTTGTTGGGAAAGAGGGAACTCAGCACCTTTCCTCCTTAAGACTCCAATGTTCTCATCCCTTGGCCTTGGATTTTCATTAGGAGACATACCTACCACTCACTGTCATCAAGACGAGCCAACCCCCAAGATATTTGATATAATTCTAGTTACTTATTCTAAATGCATCTCGTCATTAATTCCATGTTCTGATTCAAACTGATCCCCAATCTGAGTGCTAAGTGTTTAGCACTGGCGAATGTCAAGCAAAGGACCTTTCTACAGCTTGGTCCGTCTCATTTCTGGTGCTACCTGCGCTGGGCAGAAATGATAGTTCCTGCTAGGAAGGCTAGGCCTCTGACGGAAGCAGAACCAGTCCCCCTCAGTCTAGGCCTGCGGCTCCTAACCGCAGCTCTTGTTCTACTGTCTCCTTGCTTACTGTGCACAGGTCGTATTTTCAATGTGAATCCAAAGCTTGTCTGGCTCTCTGAAAACAGTTTCTCCCCCTCTAGGTTCTTTACATGGTAATGATGCTGTATTTAAAGAGAATATTTAAATGTAATATTAAAGAAATATTCAAAAGAATGGTTTTCTTTGCAAGCCACAGTTATTTGTTAACGGGTGCTTCTCTTGCTGCAGGTATAAAGCTGTTACTTAGGGACAAGTATCAGTGATGGGAATATTCTGTGATAGAAATGCAGATAACTGTCTCTTGCTGCAGGTATAAAACCATTAGTTAGGAACTATTACATAGGAATAGTCTGTGATGGAACTGTAGATAATTGTCTTTTGAGCACCGAGAACCTGTCCTGCCCAGGATTCCCTTATAAAACACTTCCGCTTAAACAGACTTGGCCTGTTATACCCTGCTGTCTGCAGTTGCCTTTTTCTCTATTTCTTTCTTTATTTTTTAAAAAATTTGTTTTCATTTTATGTGTTGGTGTTTTGCCTACAGGTAAGTCTGTGTGAGAATGTTAGATCTTGGGGGCTACATATAGTTGTTAGCTGCTAAATGGGTGCCGGGACTTGAACCCCGGTCCTTTGGGAAAGCATTCAGTGCCCTTAACCACTGAGCCATTTTTCTAGCCCATTTCTCTATTCTGATTACCGTTCCTGTATGTCTGGTAGATAACACTGAACAGAACCCTCCAGATTTCCTTTCATCACATCAGAAAACTCTGTTCCAGCCACTTAAATACCCACGAGTTAGGTCACATCAGCCTCATGAAAAATGAGTAGAGTGTGCATAAGTAATTCCCCAAAACTGGTTTCAGGCAGTCTTTACTTGGGTTTAAAAACAATGCTTCATGCATTTACAGTAAGTTACAGATGTACACACGACAGCCAAACCCAGCTCACTATCTTGATGCAGATCTCTTGGTCTCCCAGGACTAGGCAGTAGTATCTTACGACCCATGACCTAAAGAAGGCAGCCACTGCTGGCTACAGATGGTTTAGTGCAACACAGTGGAGGTAGCAAACACGTAAGGTCCTCAGGGACTGTGCGACAGCCTGAAAATTAAGACACCAGAGGGTGGGGCCAAGCGGCCATCCTTTAGCTTTTCACCTCCTTTAGAATGTTCCCTTAAAAGCAAACAAAAAATAAAAATAACAAAACAAAGAAAAGCATGTGTTGAGAGAATATGAACAGGAAGAAGGTGAACAGTCCATGCCAGTGAAGGGGAAAGTGTCTCTACTTTTGGTCACATCAAAAAGTGGCTCACGCCTGTAATCCTAGTACCCAGGAGGCTGTGGCAGAATTTTCAGGATTGCCAGGAACTGAAAGCCAACCTGGGCTATATAGTGAATTCCAGGCCAGCCTGGGCTATACAGTGAGACTCTGTCTCAAAAAGGCCAAAAAAGAAAAGGGGCGAGGAAAAGACTGGCAGGGTGTCAAGGTGCGGGCCCAGGTGTTAGTGCTCCAGTCTAGGCAGTGGGGCTCCTGGCACCCAGAAAGCCTGGGTGGAGAGCACTTGCCTGGCACAGCAAAGCCCTTGGTCGGTTCCTAAGGCCTCAAAGGCTCTGTGTGGTACTTCATCCTGTATCCCAGCCCTGGGAGGTGGGAGCAGGAAGACCAGGAGTTCACGGTCATCAGTTACATGAGACTCACAAAAACCCCTCACGGCTATAAAGAGTGCGGCAGTGAGGCCAGTGTGCTATAGACCTGAGTCCCAGCACCCAGAAGCCTGAGGTGGGAGGATCCCTTGAGCACAGAAATTTGAAGCCAGCCTGGGCAACATAGACTTATGTCAGAAAAAATAAAAACGTAAGAAGAAACCATGGCAGTCATGGATTTTAGGTCAGATGGTTCCCATCTGGGCAAAAACTGTTAACAGGACCTAAACATCACATCACAATAAAAGTCCAGTACCAGAGGTGCTTGCCAGCTCCTGGTTAGCATGGCGGGATGGCAGCACACGCGGTTTAGTTCAAGCTGTGAGGGAATGTCGTGCCTCCCAGATGGGTAGCGTGCTTCAAAGCCCATGGAACCTGCTCCTCTGCCTCCCACACTAAGTGCAGACTGCTGCCAAGTGCGGCCTGGTCCCACACTACAATACTATGTGACTGCAGGACAGTGTCATTCTCTCCATGGTTCACTCAGCGCCTGGTCTCAAGGTAGTTGGTGGAAAGCAGGACCACGTTGTGCAGCAAGAGGGACAGCTCAGCTTCTGCAAACACCATCAGGGTTAGTGCTTGGCTAGGACTCAGTTTTCCTTCTAACTGCCCTGGAGTAGGGCTGGGGAGTGCAGCAGCATGAGGCTGACCTGCGGACCCTGGCTTCACTCCAACCCCACACGCATGCCCCTCTGCTTCCATCATTTATTCACGCCCACAGTGTCCTGATTCTCACATGATGGCAGTCACCTCATGGGAGAAGTTGGTGCTTCAAGACTGCTTCTCACCCAGGACAGGTGTGTCCCTCTCCCCTCATTACCCCAAGCTCAGGACCATCTGCTAGTATCTGGAGATATCTTTTGTTTGGCACACTAGAGATCCAGGGCTGACTGGCATGGAATGGGTATAGGCAAGTATGCTTGTTACATACTCTCCTGTGCATGAGACAGCCCCTAACAGAATGCCAGCAGCGCCCAGGCTAGGAAGCTCTGCCTCAGCAGCAGGCAGTCCTTTGGTCTTACACAGTCTGTGCTCTTGTAGGCACTCAAGTTTGTGCCCTTTCAATTACAAAATAAATACATGTTAGATAAAAGCTTTATGATACTCAGCAAGTAATCCCAGGATAAAGTACAAAAATGAACTGGGTATGGTGGTGCATACCTATCCCAGCATTCAGGAGGAGAGGCAGGACAGTTGCAAGTTCAAAGCCAATCTGGTACATAGGGAGTTCCAAACCAGCCAGAGCACACAGTGAGGCCCTGGGTTTTGGTCCGTCTGGTTTTTATTGTTTGTTTTCTAAAGTTCTGATTTCAGTTAGCACAGCCATAAAGGTTTGCCTTACCTTTTAGGCTGCAGGAAATCTGCAACCATTCTCCCAGCCAAGCCCGACACCTGTCATCAGCAATGTGGGTAGAATTCAAGCCACGAAGATAGCAAGCCTGTACCACTCGGAAGAGAAACATCCTTAATAATCACAGTGTGCTACAGAAACAGACATCCACAGTGAC